AAAAAAAAAAAAAAAAAAAAAAAAAAAAAAAAATCGATCTCAAGAAAAAGGGAGAAATAAAGAGAAGTTTGGCCATCAAAGGAAAAAAATAGCAATCTTACAGAGAAGAAACTCAACAAGAAATATACAACACCAAACAAGATTCAAGTATAATCAAAAAACAGTGCTGTGGTATATTGAGCCATAAATCATATACTATACTACATTCAATTTTTCTATTGCTTCCAGAGAGGGATATGGACATCAGATGAAATGAGAGATGATCATGACAATGATACTAACCACATCCATCAATGTTCAAGGCCCACCAGAGTGATGCCGTCATTTTCATAATTGGATCAATTTGATGAGAACCTGAAAATGTCTTACAAGTGAAAAGACCCTATACTTCTTAGTCATGGCATTTCTTTTTTATACTTTAAAAGCCTGTATGGCTGTATATAGTCCTACAGTTTCTGGAGCTCTTCCCAATAATGAAGACCAAGAATCGTTTTTCCATCTCTTCATTGTGATATTGAAATTGACAAGAAGCGGGAAGGATTGTTGTATTTAACCAATAAGGCACTTTAGTCAAATTACACAATTTTTTTTTTATATTTAAGTAAACGGGGTCTAATTTATAATGGCTTAGCCGCACCTTAAAATTTTGGGGCGTAATAACAATCTTTGGCGTATCATTATTCATCACATAAGGGCTTATGAAATCATATTTATTAGAATCATTACCCACCTATAGTGATAGGAGAAAGTTGAAGAAAATTGAAATTCAAGGACCACAAATACACATATACATATATACATCATTACATAATGTTAAAAATAGTGATCCCATGGTTCTTACAGTCAAAACGTGGTTCTTATTTGAACCACATTCTTTCTTTCCGAGTTCAATAAGACATTTGAACTATCTCAATGGCCCATTGGAAACAAACACATCGTTTTGAATTACATCCGAATAAACCAACAAGTTAATATTACAATGTCCATTCATGATAATTACCAGTCAATCAAGAAAAAAAAAAAACGGCAACTGCAAAATCTCAAAACAGGCATACATACAGATCACAACAGTTTAGCCAAATGTCAGGGGACAAAATTAAGCTAACAAGCACATCACATTATGCTAATCACCTTCATCCACAACTTCACACCAGCCAAAAGATGCCCCTTAAGATCCATAAACCAAGCTACAAATTTCAGCTATTACTAAAAGCAACAAACACACAACCAAAATCACAGCTCACATTTTCTACTAAAAGTCTAAAATAAGTAAATGATTATTAAAAAAAACCACAAAAATCGGCAGGAAAAAAGAAGAAAAAACTCACGCTACGAGTGGAAGAATCTGGAGGATTTTGAGGAGATTTTAAAGGGTCTTCCGGATCTCGACCTTCTCCTTCTTCCTCGCGAGCAGCTTGACTCAGAGGCACCGCCGTGGCGTCCTTCTCCTCCGCCATTTTGCTCAAAAAATAGTAAGCTCAACGGCTTTTCCGATGGTCGGACGATCGGAGATTAGGGATTACAGTTGGTCTCAACATAAAATATTTGGTGAATCAATCCACAAAACGGTGCGTGCTGTGAGTTGTGACCGCTGCGTGTGCGTGGAGTGTTGCTCAAGGAAGTACGTACTACTTTTATAGCGGAGTGTACCAATCCGAAACGCATTTGGTCAAACCTGTATGTAGCATTTTCCATTAATATGAATTAATAAATTATAATTCTTTTAAAAGTTTAAATATAAAATAAATTTTCTGATATGTATATATATATAATATTTTTTTAAGAAATAATTGGGTGTGACGTGTGAAAATGGGTTGTTTCTTACTTCAATGTAAATTTTATTTTATATGTATTATAAAAAGAGCAATAATAAATTAACATTTGTTATGCAGATAATTAATATAATTAACAGATATTGTTAAAATATCACTTGTAAGTTATCCCACATCGTTTATATAAGAGAAATATACCGAATTTATAAGTCTAGTGGACTACTCGTCCTTCCACCAATTTTGTTTTAGGTAGAACCTCATTTGAGTTTCATCTGGATTTTTCCTGTTATGGTGTGTTTCATCTGTCTGGGACCGCTACCGTTCTACCCTCAATTCTTACATATATAGGCTATGACTTATCAAATAAGCTCGAACTTTCCTCCCAAATGGACGTATAAACTAACTAAAGAAACTATGAGCTAACTTATTTATCTACCAAACATAGCAATGCCATAAATTGTTATTGTCAAATCTTAGGATTTATATCCACAAAACGGTCAACCACGGGTCAAGATGCAGGCATGCAACGAACAATGTCAAAAGAAGCTAATTTCGATTTTTATGTTATTTTTTGTGTTTAATTAAAGGAATATATAATTTTGGAAGTCAGATAATTTGGACTCTTTATAAAAATATTTATAATCTACTTTAGTCAAAAGTTGGTCGTGTTTCCACAACTTTAAAAATAATTATTCAATTTTGGCACATTATTTTACTAGTCCAATTTCCAGAACAATGTTTACAGGCATATATAATTGTACATAATTATTTATATAATATAATTCAACTTTTTATTAAATAGATAATATATATGAAAATATGATTTTTTTTTTTTTTAAAAAAGAAGTATTTAAAGATACATTCTTCATAAATGTATATACATATGAAAAATATATAAGAACTGAAATATTTATTTAATTATAGATGTAAACTTTTTTTATTAAATACATAATTTCTCGAATATAATCTAATTATGGTTCATATTATATATTAGATTTATTTTACTTGTTAATTATTAGTTTTAATTTTTGAAAAACTAACCTTTAAAGATATAAGAATGAGTAAAAAGTTGTTTATATAGGAATATTCCCATTAGAATAGCTATTTCTAGCTTAAAATCAATAAAATGTGGTTGAAAGAAGAATGACATCTAACCAGTATATATCCTCCCTCCCTCCCTATATATAATTCTCGAATGCGCTGAGTGGTTGTTTCTGGTGTTTCGGAATCCTACTTGGCGAAGAATCATGCTTCGTAATTAGGTTTGGACAAATAATATTGATATATTAATAATTAATAATATAGGTTTGGACATTCCATAAATATTATTTATCCCTGACTTTTGATTTGTTTCCTTCAATTAGCTATTGAATTATAAATATATTTTAAAAGTTGATAATTTTTGTATTTCTTATCGGTTTTACATATATAATATATCAAATTAATCATCTTTTGATGATCTTCGATTTGACATTCATATTGTATATATTGAAATAAATAAATAAATTATATTTATATTTATAATAATAAAAAATATTTATATTTATTAAAATTCATTAGAAAAATAAAATTATTTCTCAATTGATATATTTATGTTTAATGTAGTTATATGTTGTAAGTTAAAAAAATTATTATAATATAATACAGATAAGTCGCACAAATAAAAAGTGTCATACTAAATATATAATAATATATATTTTTATAAAAGATATTTAAATTTTTAACTATTTTTTCTCATTAATTTTAAATTTTAAAAAAAAAATTAACAAGCACCCGTATAATACACGGAAGTTGTACTAGTTAATAGGAAAATGTTAATATCCCGCTACTGAATGGTTCAGTCAGTGTTTTTCACCATTAGATACACATGTAGATTATGTTATGTACATAATCTACAGTAACTACCAACGGACTATTCCGTCAACAGAACTGTAGTCGTTCCCTATATAATTAACTTCTGCAGTTTTACACTAAACTAAAACCCTTGTGGGTCATAACTTACAATATGCTTAAAAACACTTAGAAACCATTACACATATCTCCAACAAAAGAATCAATCAAACCCACTGGCTGGCTTCATATCTACAGACATATTATCATCATCCCCTTCTCTAGTAAAAATGCATTTCCTTCTTATTCTATCTTTCGCCACGCCAAATTCCCGAAAAAAAGAAAGAAAAAAATATCAATCAATCAATCATCGCAGTTAAGCCCGCATATCTCGAGCACCGGTCCTTCCCTCGACACAAACGGGTTTATCCTAACCCACACGAGCGTGAGTATAGACCCGAGCAGAATCGACCATATAACAATCACGGTGGGGACTCTTTCTTGTTTCCCCGTGAGCCCCTTGAGGAATGGGTACAAGTGCACGACGACC